TGCCAGGCGTAAGGAGAACTTGGCTCGTATCAAGGCGTGGTCTGTGTCCACAGCTGTTGAGAACGGCAGTCTTGTTTTGGTGTGGAGCACCCTATACAGTACATCCTCGAGCATTGCTGCGGATGGTCCGCTACCGCTTATTCAGTGAGCCCAAACCCACCTTATTCGCGATTAACCGCGAGTAAGGTGCCGTTCCTCTCTCGGCGACCTGGGGACGCGCTCGATATCATACAGCTCTGCTCATACACGAACCTCAAGTTCCTATGTTGCCGATGAGACACTTACTGTTTGGCTGCAGAACTAATTAGTTGAGTCCTCAAGTGCACTTTCTACCCTATCATCTGGAACCGACCACAGACGCGAGCGTGCGTTTTGAAAATGAAATGAATCGATTCCTTCTCCAAATTCCTTATAAACAAAACAACGAACAAAGATGCACATAATGTTGGAATGCAAAAAGCACTTCATCAAATGAACAACAAGAAACTATTTTCTAACACAGACACACCGATCTTGCACTTCTACTGCTGCTCATATACAACGGCAGCGCACAAAAGACGGATGACTCAAAAGTAAGTCAGAATGACTTCTACAACCATCATCGACGCGCATCCTGTCGAGGCATCGCACAGTTCTTCACTTGGTTTGCATAAGTTTTTCCCCTGTCCGGTAAACATACAAAATAAGTAAATAAAGAAAAAAAATGCAGTGTGATACGGGTACAACTTCTAATGTTTCTTCGGTTAGAGTGAAAGTAGGAGCAGGTTAAAATATTTTTAAAGATAATAAACTGTACGCATCTTGGCAAACAGTCGAAATAGATGCACCAGTTCCCATATCCATTATCTGAGTCTTATCGAATGGTTAGCGAGCAACCAAATATATGTAGTAACTTCTGGTGGTGAATCAACTGAGACAGGTCTACTCCGTATCAGTAGGGAGAAAGACATTCAATTAAAGTGTGGTATACATAGGTGTTTTCTATTCTGAGGAGCTCTAGAACCACATGAATAAGCATTTGGAAAGGATGACATGATAGGATGTTAAAAATCAGGGCAGCATTTTACGCATATATATCACGAAAACTCACGGTTGGTGTACGCTGACGATCGTTGTTCTGTATCTGTCGGAGCAAGCGAGCAGATCGGGGAGGGTGAGGAATGAAAAGAAGTGCAACATATTGATTGAGAGAGACTAGGAATAACTTCTGACCGATTATTTTTGCTGCTGAAAACAATATTCCAATCATATGGTTTACTCTCTCCTTTTCTATTTCTATTTCTCTTTCAATCTCTGTACAACGCCAGTTGATATCAAAGTGATACATGTTTATTGCACACAGACTAGTGACCAGAAGAAGGGATAAATGTCAGTCACAAAACTCCATTGTTCACTTTTACGACTGCCAACCAAAGTGCTGTGTTTACCAAATATTCATCATACGTCGTCTCTCAGAACATCGCCATGAGCTTCAGCAACTCTTAACAGTTTAATACCTAGATCTAGGAGCAGTATTTTATTTCGCAGATCGAGAATCCCTGTGAACATCGTACTGGTCGATAGTCTTACAATTAAACTTGTCCACCTCATGGGATCATACTACTCCAACACTAGGGTCCGAGTCCGCATCTACAGCGACGAGTCACCCGCACTCAAGCCAGGATCTGGAGTAAAACAGGGGTGCCTATGGTCCCCAATGTAATCCAACTTCGCCACTGACTGAGTCGTTCCATGAGAGGACAACAGGGCGTTATTTCATCGAAGTTCTGGCTCACATACTGGAATTTACTGATGATATGGTCGCTTTTGATGGGAACATGCACAACCGGTGGTAGTGATTTAGTGGTTGAGTCGCTGTCACCGGTGTGCTTTTTACCCTGTGGTCCCAAGTTCGAGCCCAGTCCGTACCATTCAACTTTCGTGGCAGGCAGCTTTTCCGTAGTCCGGAACAATACGACACCTAACCTAGCGGGGACTTAAATTGTTCACCAACCCAAGTCTCGGGGCTTGTGTTGCCGGTTTTCAGCATTAAAACGGCAGGTCTATGTGCCTAGGGGGTTTACCTCATCTGCCGTTCATCACACTAGTGTGCAATAAAAAAAACCTGCAATTAATCGTTGATCGCATCAGTTGACAAGTTTCCGAGCTCAGCCTAGAGGTGAACACATCAATAACCAAAACGTTTGCGACAGTTCCAATTCATCCCGAACGTGCTTCAAAACCGAAAGGCCCAACCAAACTGCCCAACAGTCAAGATGAAGACAAAGTACAAGTACGCGTCAATGCTGCAAGAAGAGCTCTTCTACAAATGAAGAATTCACTTTCACGCAGAAACGAAATTAGCCTTAATATAAAAATGCGAGTTTTATCTACAGCGATCCGCCGTGTCTTGCTGTACGGTTCTGTGCGTTTCTTCATGCCTCGTCTCCACCATGACTACGTTGAAAGCAGAGACTGTGCGACTGCTACACGGATTAGTTATGGGGGAAAGGAGGCAGGACAATTCAGACAATACTCAACTCACCTGCGAGCCAAGCCGGAGGGCTGAGATCGCATCGTGCAGTTCACGTGCATGGGCGTTTAGTACCATTGTGAGTTTGCCGATCACAAAGAGTCCAGCATCCAAGAAACGGGTAGCGGTCGGAAGTGGATGGAAGGTTCGAGTAAGTGTTCGGTTTTCAACTGCAACAAAGCACAGTAGAGGGAAATAGAAAGACTGTGAGATACCGTTCACATTTCTCCAATTGCAGAACGCATGCCGTTCCATGTCAAACAGAAGTTTCAAGCGAACGGGAAAACGGATAAGTGGGGCGATAACTTCACCTGTGTACCACAAACCCACCTCGCCGTGTAATGCATACAACACTAAGATGCTGTTCAAAGATGAGCATAAATGTTACGTTATAAGCCATGTACATTCACCGCACCCATCTTTTTGCAAAGAAATCACTGATATCTGATTAACAATCAAACTTCATCTTCGGTGCAACTTAAACGTCGAACCTTTACTTTAGTTACCTCCTGCGCGTATGAGCGGGCACCTCGAAGAATTCATAAAGTGTCATGCGCTTTTCGTACACAAGTGAAGCAGCTACATCTCAAGTCATCTCAAGTTGAACGCAACGCTTCTAGTCAATACACAACCAAGTATGAACCATAAGTTAGTAGAAGCTTTTGCAGTGATTAGGTTGGATTTGAACCGCGTTCCTCACCGTTGGATCGAGAAAACGAACTAGATCGTCCAGTCTGCCGAAGTGTTTCACGTGAATCGGAAGGGCTATGACTCACTATATTTCGAAGGATCTGGCCGCTTTTACTTGAGTTAGAACACTTGTCACGCGGGTGCGGTCGTAGAAATATTCAATCAACTTTATAAGGCTACAAACGAGAAATGGGTGACAGATGTAAGCCAAAGGTAAAAAACTGTTTATAGGAACATGGCAAGATTCCGAGACAGAGGTGCCATCCCTCCTGGAAATCCCAACACCCATGATAGCCTAAGAAGGCCTGTGTAGGTATTGTTGTATAACCTCAACGATCACGATAAATAACCGAATTCATTCCAGTATTGTGTGTGAGTAGGTGGTATCCGCAAATTGAGTTCGTCCAACAGTTCTGCATCACTTCAACTCTAGGGGGGGGGGTATACATGGACAATTGTGAAGCTATTAATTTCCCCAGCCATTCTTTTTTTCGATATTGTACAGTGTGACAAAAATACATCCTTAAAGGGAACGATATGTAGTCAGAACTAAACCATGTACTACGCTTGATTTTGTCATCTTTTTTCCGATTAGAATAAGGCTCATTAAAAGAATGCAACCCCAACATCGACATTCGTTTGATGCCATATCCCGTAATGGTTCCAGTCAACGGTTGTATGAACCCTTGGGGACCCAGTTTTAAGGCTTCCGAAAGTGCGGGAGAGTTACTGTGTTGCGAGTGGTGAGCACCAAAACGAATTAATCTAGTTCGTACAAGTATTATCAGAATACCTCTATCAAAGTATACCTAGTCACTGTCTTCATATGGTGGTCGCATTTTGCCATGAAAATCCCGAAGGATATAACCGATTCGGTGAAACACTAGCAATTAATCTAAGGGAGTTGGCAAATAACCTCGGCGTTTAGGTGGCAGTTTAAAAAACCATTAGCCATGCACTTTCATGGTTTTGGTTGAAGTCTTTTGGCTGCCTATTTCGATGAAGCGATAGAAGTTTAGAAAGTTGAAAGTGAAATCAAAGAAAATAATGAAGAATTACAGTAGTCTAAGGTTTCAAAGAAATTGAGAAGATGCACAAACGCTACCGTTTACGAGGATAAAGCCATATCACTCAATGGCTCTAATCATTGACTGCAATGATCCCCAGGTTCTCATTCAGGAAGATTATCACAACCTATGACCGAGTCTCCCGGTTACGGTTTTCATACCCTCATGCCTCCGAAATCCTCAATATGGTCGGGGGTGGGTGTATAGGGTTGCGGCTGGAAACCGTTCACTCGCACGTCGTGAAATGCTTCCTTACGACCAAGCGTCTCAAATAGCCTCTGTTAAGGAAGTCCTACTCACTACTTTCTCACGGTGGAGGTGTTTTCCCACCAAAGTGAGAGGACGAAAAGCCGATATTCGGGGCTATAACCGGGTTGGTGGACCACTGGTAGTACACCTAGGGGAGTTGGCCAAAAACCCTGATTCCAAACCAACCAAGAGGAGGCGTACGAATCACAACTACACCTTTGCGGTTGTAGTAGTGGTCACCGACTCGATTGGGCATCCAGGTGTACTGGGCAACTTGGATGGTTGACCCCGTCCGAAAGGTGTGTGGTCCGATGAACTGGACACCAGCCCCCAATGGATTGCGGTCTTTGAACACCGCCCCGCTGCCTTGCGGGTCAGGCTGTGGTTAGCCAGAGGCTCCGGTTGTGGATTCCTCAAAAAAATCCACCTGCCTTGGCCAGGACAACCTGGCAGTATTCGGTCCAATTGCAAATCGTAAAGCGTTTTTCTTTTTATAAAGCCTATTGTACCACGATTTGTTTGGCACACAGTCTGGCATCAGGAGTGTGATATATACATATATACCAGGTCTTAGTTTGACATCCCTTGGACTTGTTGTCCACCCACTACCGACCTCGGCAAACATCACGCGCCGCGGAAAAATATTTGGTAACATGCGCAACATATATCCCAAACAACGTAATCAATGCGAGAAGACTATTTGCCGCAGTAGACGATTGCGATTACCTAAAACTCTGCATCTTACCTCAGCATTACTTGTGCGGTTTCCCCCATCAGACTTGTGCCCGAATCGTCCTCCGACGCCCCTCCCCCGCTAACTAATCCGTGTAGCAGTCGAGCAATTGTATAGGAATTCGGTTTGCCAAAAAAGCAAAACTCGTGCATTTGCACTACTACTCTCCCAGTTAGAGTGCGGTTGGGTGCTGTACCAACCCAATTTTGTAGCAAAATCTTGCACATTGACAGCGCAAAATAGAATATGTCTACACTCGCACCCAAACCATGTAGTGAAGCTTGTCAGGTGCCTGGATCTTCACCTAACAGCACAATATCACCTGCATACGCCGGATCGGACACATTCACAAGCAGGCAACTCGATGACACTATCATCGCAGGAGGAAAGAGATGCGTCCATAATCAAATCTATTAGAAGGTGAAATAGAAAAGGTGAGAGAGGGCAATCCTGAAGCTTACTATGATGAAGTCTAGTGGAAAAGTTCCGTAAGCTCGGACTCGACGAAGTAATTATAGTGGTGAAATAAACTTCTCGGGCAGACATTTTAGAAACAGGCAGCGCCACGCGTGCATCTGTCATGCGCGGCAAACAATCGATAGAGTATGATGCCAGCGAGAAGTTTGGGGACAATGTTGATTAAACTAATTCTTCTGTGGTTTTCGCAAGAGAATCCAACACCTTTCTTGTAAATGGGAATGATAACTGATTCCCACAAAACCGTTGAAAACTGTTCGCTCTCCCATACTAAACCCAGGAGTCTCAACAACTCCGAAATCAACGCTGAATCTCAATCCTTTAAAGCCGATGGGGACAGCCCATCCGGGCCGGAGGCATTATGCATTTTGAGATAACTTTCTCGGGAAGCCTTCATTTCAAATGGAGAACTGGCACCAACGGGGATTATTTGACAAGTCACAATGGGAATTTACGTCGAGTGGGACCAGTTGCACAAAGCCTCGAAATGTTCAGCTTAATGTTCACATCAAGAGGGCGTTTCTGATGACGAATCAGTATGCCATCGCAGTCCTTAATGACTTCAATAACGCCTACTTGGGCCCGTATTCCTAAATGAGAGCTACAGTCTTGAATGGACCCACTCCAGCGGTAACTGATGCCGGTGTCGTTCCTTGTACCAGAAGTTGGCGCTCGACAGGAACGGCCTATGGTTCGTGCAGAGTTACAGTAGCTGGTCACCCGTACAGAACCATCCAGATGTACAGCGCAAAGTCGGCTGTTAACCGGGATGCAGTCGAGAAGTGAACGCTCGGCCCTGACACAGCGCAATCCCGACACCAACAACACCGCGAGCTTCGAATGCCGAATAGCCTGACACACGGAGAGTGAAGTGTGAGAATGAGGTTGTTTGTATCTAGAGATCGCAAAGTGATGATAGAATTAGTGTCTTATATGCGTGTTTCGGAGACACAGCATACGTCTAGGTGGAATATTTTAAGGGTTCTAGCTAATGCAGTTTGTTCACCAACGTGACAGTGCACGGAAATTAAATGCGGCTAAGTGGAAGAGAGATTTTGGTTTCAAAAATCGGATAGCTTCGGAGTGGTTGACCTTACTAGTTGAACACCGAGTTAAATCCAATGAGTGGTGCAAAACAGGATGCATCTCCAAAGATTTGCGAGTAAGAGGAAGAACCAAACAGATAAGAAAGAGGGTTTTCCAAATGGGGTATCCCACACAAACGAAGGGTTTTTTTCTTTGGGAATCGTAACCAAAACCCTCAACTTAATAGTCTAACCCACAAAGCAGTGAGGCGTAGATTCAACGTAGGAGTGTGATCGAACGCTCTGATTGACAAAATAAAGCGTAAATTTGCCCGATTCATCTCCAGAAGAAAAAAACAGTTATAGTATAACTAAAGTGAAGCTTGGTCTGGCAACTTTAACAATACAAGTAAAAAAACGGTTCGCAAACCCCGTTTGCAGTCTGGCGGTGATTTCTTGGAATGGTAAATGATAGATTGTGGCCCGAGTCAAATGTTTTGCAGCTGGTTTGAGTCAGTTACTAAATCTGTATGATGACCGAAATGCAACAAACAATTGAATGTTTATTTCCGTCGCTCATCCCAAGAAAGGTAGGTGAAACGACATATATGAAACCTGAGGACACCTCAATACGCAAGCCAAACATCACGAAGGCGTGGTTTTATTTTCACCCGATCCACCTTCCGGGAATACCGATATATATCTCAACTTGAGTGAGAACCTCTGGGAATTATTGGCCGGGTGAGTATACGGAAATGTCATGACCTAAAATTTCCTTGCACTACTGATGTCTATATTGAAGGTGGGTCCGAAAACATATTAGCACCGGAGTTAGCAAACTGCTGGTCAGCACTATACGGAGTCCTTCTGTTCCCGTTTTGTAGCAAAACGAAGCGACTATACTGAGTTGGGACAAAGCCTATCAATAGTGTGTTGTCTCTGTACTTGTGATGGCACCTTGTGTGGATCCATTCGTCAATAAAATTTTTATACTAATACAGTTGTGGAATACTGCAAGATTTTCCGGTTGGTTATAGCTTCTGTGATAGTTTTTGGTGGCACTAACCACCACTAACCACCATAACGGAAGCTAGATGAAGAAAATTATTTCTATAATTTTGGCACCTTAATCAGCCAGATGAAGACGGATGAGAGTAAGAGTGTAGTTTTCTCCTCGTATGACAGAGCATACCACTTGAGAAGACAAGAGACTACTTTAATCCACTGTCCGCTCCACTGAAAGAAACATCATGCAAATCCTCCAATAAAAGGTATCATGAAAAAGGGACTAAACGACTACCGGAGGTTCAACAGATTAATGCACATAAATAAATGAATAAATATAAATATAAATACATATATATATATATATATACTTACATCGAAACCCATTGGACAAAATTTCATCACGTAGAACTAGACGACAATATCCAATCACAACACCCGTGTCGTGTGTATGATTTCGAGCGACTAATCGAAATTCCAACAAACGATTTACACTCACAAAGACCACGTGATTTTGCCGGAACTCCGCATTCCAACTACGCAGTGGTACTGTGCTGTACAATGGGCCACTGCAACGAGCATTCACATCAGCAGCGTCGGGTACCGGCGTGGTCTGTTCAACCGCCTCATAGATAACATTTAGTTTTGGGCGTTCAGTATTGAGCAGGGATTTAGTCAAGGGAGCACAGGCACGATCGATCGAGATCTTTTCGACTAAAGGAAAAAGGATAAGGGGTGCGATTAGAAGTTTTCTCTATGAATAGAATGAAAGGTAATTGAAGTTAAATTCATAAAGCCAAGGATAAATGAAAGGACAAAACCGCGAGTCATGAAGTTTATCCATATCGGCTGATTTAATTAGGTCGATAATCGCGGGTATGTCTGCATTATTGTGAACTCATGTGAGAGCCTTACGTTTAAGGTTCAAAATGATATTCGTCGTTGATGAACCTTCTGTGTACCTAAGCATAAGTTTTGTAGTGTGTATAACTTTTGCAAACACTGAACCTTGGATTTCCGTTAACAACTGTGCACGCCAACCGTCACAAAGAACATATTCAACGGGGGGGGAATGTTTATAGACACGGAATGTTGCTTCCGTTCAGTCCTGCACCCAACAAATTGTTTGTAATCCATTACGAGATAGCGTATTCGAACCTCCAACCCGTACCAGGTCATAGGAACGGGTGCCTTCATTACCCGCAATTGTTTGCTGTTCCATGAATGGTCNATGGTCCACGCTCACTGCCCTCAATCGATTTGAGCCACGGACACACGCATGACTTGTCCGCATATTTGACTGTATTGATTCTCTAGCACGCCCACGCTCTGGTTCGTCTCCACACACACACACACACACACACACACACACACACAGAGCTATTGTACACACCCGTTTGATTTAAGCTTACGTACGCACGCACATGAACGACAATCACGCCGTAGTTGTCCCTCTAATGACTCTTGACCTTGGACCCACGACGTGAACGAACCTTGCCAGATTCATTGTTGTTGTTTTTGCTTCACACGAGATATTTGATTATTGATGGATTTGAGCTGACTATCACTCGGACTTCGTCACGCACAATCCTCAGTTCATCGATTCAAAAACATTCGGAAGCACTGGACTCGAGTTTCGCTCTTACTAGAGCTCATCAGTGGTGCATATCCACCGTCCCATCCGAGATTTGAACTCCGGACCTATCGCATGGAAGGCGTGTGCGTTACCACTGCGCCAAACAGCTCATACGATGGTTGAACCGAATTGCCAGTTCATGTTTGTTCAGGTGCCGCTGGTTCCCGTTGTATTGACTTAATTTTCCGGTCTTCCGGTGTGTTGTTTCTACGGGATTGTCCTACAGTTTGAGGCTTGTTCACTGTACATTGGTATTGCAGTACCTTGGATATCACTTCAGGTCAGTTTGTACAACCATTAACCATGAACTTCCGTGCGCCGGTTGTGGTTGCTGTCTTGTGGTTCCCACTTGGATAAAACAGCAGAATGATGATTAGAATGTGGAGAGCAGATTCAAGCGGAAGATAACGCAGTTACATAGACTGAAGTTACAAGAATAATGAGTACATGCATGAACGCCACTGTTTGCGGCACCCAGCATATCG